CTCATTTATCATGCCCACACCCGGCCGGACATAGCATATTCTGTTAGCGTCATCAGCCAATTCATGCATGACCCCAAGGAGATTCATCTTCAAGCTGCCTACCGTGTGCTTCATTACTTGAAAGCTAATCCTGGGAAGGGGATAATGTTCAAGAGAAATTCTGAGCTTGTCCTTGAAGCCTACACAGATGCAGATTACGCAGGGTCCCCTATGGATCGGAGGTCTACTTCAGGTTATTGTACATTCCTTGGAGGCAATTTGGTAACATGGCGAAGCAAGAAGCAAAATGTTGTAGCTCGGTCAAGTGCAGAAGCTGAATTTAGAGCAATGGCACAAGGTGTCTGTGAGTTGTTATGGCTGAAGATTATACTGGAAGACTTGAAGATTAAATGGAGTGGGCCAATGAGACTCTACTGTGACAATAAATCAGCAATCAACATTGCACATAATCCAGTGCAACACGACCGAACTAAGCACATTGAGATAGACAGGCATTTTATCAAGGAAAAACTAAAAAGCAGATTAATTTGCACACCATACGTTCCCACGGGAGGTGAATTGGCAGATGTTCTTACAAAGGGGCTCAACCGTGTTATCTTCCAAGAAATTTTTTCCAAGCTGGGAATGGTTGACACCTATTCACCAGCTTGAGGGGGAGTGTGGAAAAATACCTCCTTGATTAGTGGTAGGTTAGCACTAGAATTGTGTAAATACTTGTTTCCTAGAGTTTAGGGATTTTTGTAAATATTTGTTTCCTAGAGTTTAGGGATTTCATTGATAGAGAATCAGGGATTCCTGATTATAGGGATTTCAAAATTAAGTTAGTTGCTGATTTTTCTCTTTGTAATTTCTTATATATAGCCCAACAGAGGCTCTTGTAAAATTAATTAACAAATTCAATATAATTGAATTCATTTCTCCACAGCCATGCCTTAGGCTCCTCCAATGGGGTGTCAGGCCTTAGGCAACCCAGGCCAAGGCGGCAAGCCTTAGGTGCCACTCTGGTGGGCGCCATATGGGGGACGCCCCCCATGCATGGGCCACTTTAAGGCACCCAACATGGGCGTCACTTTCAGTGCCTTTTGTGGGCACCACTTTCTATTTTTCCTCTTTCACATACATATATTTTCTTTATTTTTCTTTTGTTATTAGAACCAGTTTTGTTTGCTTATTAATTTCTCGGACTCCTACAGTAGTTAAAATTCATTTTATCTTGGCAGTGTTTGTGGGAGCTTTTGGATTACTCTAAAAGGACTTCAAAGCTTTAAAAGACCTTTTAAAAATATATATATGATTGTCTGGTGGGGTGACAAAAAGGACTTTTATGGATGTCCAATTGCAGGTGAGAGTAACTTCCAAAAATGAGTTCTCTTGAATTCAAATAAGTTATTAAATGACAAACTTTAAATGCCAATTTTGTCCAACGGTTTTACTATATACATTTCATCAACAGAGAGTCAAAATAGGCAGTGACAAAGGTTGAAGAGTGGCTCAAGTTGACAATCAATGTGGTGATGGTGAAGGACGATGTCATTGAACAACTCATCGGCTCAGAAGGGTTGATGTTGGTTATGGTTGCCTAAGTATGAAAGAAATTGCCGCGAAGATTAAATTGACCAAATGATTTAGAAAAATAATCCAGCAGAATTGAGTCTGAACCCCGACAAATTATACAGGGACTAAACCCAGTGTTTATTGGCAGTTTTGTTGCCTTGAAGCTTTTCAGCCTGAATAAGGCCTCTTGGGTGGATTTAAATAAAGATTTTGAATAGTTTGGATGAACAATCTTTGATTTAACCCCGTAGATGAGAAAAAATATTGAAAAGATGATGTAGAGGTAAATTGCAAAGACTAGAGTAGAACCATGTTTGATACATCATTTTTGCAACTTGCTTCATTGCTCTCCTAGAAGACACGCCAAAAAATTAGCCATTAAAATTAGTTTACAACTACCAAGGCCTATAGCCTAGTGGTATCTCCTTAGCCTCCCAAAGTGAGAAGTGAGGGTTCAAGTCTCCATAGGGGCAACTAGGTGCGTGAGTTTCTTGCCAAGGGAATATATTTATATATATATATATATATAAAGTTTACAACTTCAGCTTAAGGATTCTTCCATGGGCAATCAAAATATAATGTTATTTTATAGCTCGAAAAGATGAAGTCAGCATGTATGATGGTAACTTTTTTCAAGGTTGAGATAATGCAACTACTCTGTGGACTCAGATTTCTTTCAAGAATATGTTGGTTGTTCATTTTGTAGATGCAATTTTAATGAAATCCGACATGTCAAAAGCATAAATATTGATATAAAATTTTCATATAATCAATTAATTATTTTACATTATTATGTATCAAGAAAAAAGTACAGTGGAACGTTTTCTTTTAAATTACTTCTACAAAAGTTCCTTCTGTAGAGGCCTTTTCAGTGAAGGACTTTTGGTGTTAGGAAGCTCCTTCAAAAGCTATCTTTATTTAAGAGACTTTTTTTTTTTGGTAAGTCAATCATTGTATTAGAAAGGAGAAGGCCTAAGCCTCCGTACAAGCATCAAGGGTCAAAGCCATGCTATACAAAAAAATCCCAGAAGTTCCAAAGCTCACTAGTACTGTAACGAAAAACAATAGCACCCATGGGAATCTACATGCCTACGGTAAAAGGGAATATCAACAAAGACCTTATTACTATTAACAAAACAATAGCCAAACCTCGCATACCCCACATTATAAACTGAGATATCGTAACAAATGGGGAAACATATATAGCAGGCATTAATGAGGGAGCAGAGCAAAAATTTGAGACTCCATAGAGATTGTCCTCACGATAATGGCTATATACCTAACACAAGGGCGGATCCAGGGATGGGCTCTGGTGGGCTTAAAAATAAAAAATAAAAAGTTTTAGTAGTACTAGCCCACCCCAGAATAGATTAGCCCACCGCATTATGCAATTCTGGATCCGCCCTTGACCTGACACAAAGCAAACTACGGTAAAGGGCACTTAACACCCTAGTGCTTGTTCTCTCTCTATATTTCCCCTACAACTTGTTCTCTCTCTCTATTTCCTGCACAGCAGTGTATTCTCTCTCTCTACAATAACCTTTCATGCAAGACTTGTGTATTAAATAATCTCAGACCCGTTATTGGAGACGAACCCAAAGAGCAAAGGGGTCGCCGGCATCTGAACCAGCAGAGGCGCCGGCAATCCATCATTGCCATAAGATTCAACATTGTTTATAAATCTGTTCTCTCTTTATTCAGAGTTCACCTTACTAGTTTTAGTTACTACTGACTTTGGGATTGAAGTTGTATATAGATGCAATTCTGTATCAGTTACATTGAATTATATATTACAAACAGAACTTAAGAATACTGGTTTCTGTTTTGAAACATCTGCACGCCATATGCCCCATTCACATTCCTCAAGTGTTGGCTAGTGGCAAAGAATTTCTTAGGAAATGATAACAGTTACACTAGCATAAGGATTTAAAAATGTACATTTGAGGGTTTATCACCATTGATATTCTTTATATATATTTGAGACCGAAAAAATAATCAAAGAAAAGTTTGAATCTGGCATGTTTTTGCAATACAAGTGGCATGGGATAAGGGACTCTGTTTACTTTCATCTTTGTGAAACCAAAAGTAAATGTTAAACATAGTTGCCGAACTGATATTTGGCATCAAGAATCTCCCAAGTGGACCATATACTGTACTTCTGCAACTTTACTTCACATCTAGTTATATCACTTGCAAAGGGCAGTCTGTGGGACTGTGGGTCACTGGCGTATGCACTGGCAACCAGCCCATAGTCGACAACGAATTTTTTCGCTGTCACAGGCAATTGAAATCGCTGCAACCAGCAACATAGAGTGACCCAAATGATCAGATGGAGCCAAACGATGTCATATTAGATTATGTCCTCTTTGGTCATTTCATAAATGCAGCTTTTTTTAAATAATATGAAAATTGTGTGTATAAGGGTAATTTGGTCAACATATTACTTTACTGTGTCAGGTCGGACTTATTTGCACATTTTTTCAAATTGGGGGTGTTTTCTGCACACGAGGGGGTTGATATGCATTGTCAGGATATCACTGGGGAGTTGAGTGCACTTTACCCAAACGAACTACTCCAATCACTCATATCCATACACATCTGGAACTTCAACAAACTAAACAAAGGCTTGATCAGGTTGGCCATCTTAAACCAAAAAGTAAAACCTATCGTCTGAAAACTGAATCTGGGATGTCCCATTCCCTCTGCAACCACCTATCCTCACCAGCGGGATGAAGACTATAGAGAAAGTTCTGAGTTTTGCCAACTCCATGATCTGGTGTTGAACCAAGACCACATCTTTATAGACTTCTATGATATAGAAATAGAGTAAATAAGATATGTTTTCCATAGATAAACCACATAATGGTGTCTAACAGTTTTTAGATTTTCAATTTTTTATTAAAATATTAAAAGAAAGTGCTATATTTACTGGTTGAATCCATGTCTTTACTTATAAACACAAGTGAGTGGACTCTCATGGATCTTATTTCCTTATATCTATAGGTAAGAGTATTCGAGTTTACCCAATAAGCACGACACTATTTTATAGAAAAATAACCTAAACTTTTTATTTAACGTATTTTTATTATGAACAATTTACGATTAAGTGGGAAATCTTGCTTTGGCCCAAAGAAAGATCTCTTGATCCACCACTATACCTGTTTCTGAGCGTAGTAGCTGGAGAAACTTGAATTCCTCATAAGAAAGAGGAGTAATTGGTCATGTTTCTAAAGCTACCAGGTTATACAAGAAGTGAACCTAGGTTGGAAAAGAAGTAAAACTGCATTTCGACTTCTTTTTTTATTTAAGGTTGGTCCTCCCACACACCCTGAGCTTCCCCCCTCCTCTCAATCTCCATCTCTCAGTCTCAATTAATAATGGGATCAATAACACAGTAGGAAAATTGGAATTTTTAATATAGGAAGTCAAATATTTCACAAACTTACAGTACGCTGTCCAGGTATAATTCTTGAAATATGACTTAGCCGAAGCTGTTTCTCCTTTTTACCAGCATACCATATCAATACAGTTTCATCCTGAAAAATAAAAACACTAACCTGAGCAACCGGAACAGAATAATTCAAAAAACCTTTTCAAGTACATGCAATAGATCAAAAATTGGATCTGCCAACCAGTTTCACTTGGTTTTAACACAATTGGATGTTCTAACAATTATTTGATTATTTTAATTATAATTTTGTTTTAAGTATAATTGTATTGCATGAGCAATTGGAACATTTTTAGATTAACATAAAATCGACAACTACTAGTGTTGCATAGGAAACATTGGCTGGGGTAAGAAGCAATCAGAGATAATTATATATGTATACATAATTAACAATAGATTGGTACAAACATAGATACATATTCAAACTGATACATGCATACATATACACACAATATCTATTAATATATATCGATCTCTATATATTCATACATATACATACGTACTGATATATCTACGATCTCTGTTTACATACTAATATTGCTGTGTATCCTTATTTATATATGTGTGTACATGTGCAATTTCTATGAATTAGGCTTTATTAGAGTGTTTTGATTTGTGACTTGATTGCATTATTGATTCTGCTATATTTTCTTTGCTTATTGTGTTGACTTTAAGAGATAATTAAAACAAAGAGTAAAGTAGAAGCAGATGATGAAGAAGAGGAGAAAGAGATGGGAAAAGAGACAAAGAATGAAAGAATACTTTCATCCTTCCACCATATTGTATTTATACTAACAAGTTTCAGAAATTACACATTAGCACCCAACATTATATAAGTAATAACAAATAAGCCCTCGAGAACACTCCCCCTCTAGTTGGTGCAAAGATATCTATCATGCCCAGCTTGACTAACATATTTTGCAAGCAAATCTTGCTCACACCCTTAGTTAAAACATCAGCAACCTGATCAAGTGTGTTGACGTATGCAGTACAAATCAGCTCAAGACAGTTTCCTTGATGAAGTGTCAATCAACTTCAATGTGCTTTGTCCTATCATGTTGAACTGGATTGTGGGCAATGCTAAAAGCAGCCTTGTTGTCACAATACAAATTCATTGACTCGCGAACAGGATAACCCAACTCATCCAACATAGTTCGTAGCCATAACAACTCACAAACTCCATGTGCCAGAACTCAGCCTCTGCACTAGATCTAGCTACTACATGCTGTTTTTGCTTCGCCATGAAACAAGATTACCTCCAACAAATGTGCAATATCCTGAAGTAGATCATTCCTTATAGGCTTCAACACGCGAGTGGCCACGACGACCAAACAATATCCCCTTACTAGGTGAACCCTTGAGGTAGTGGAACATGATGAGTTGCCTCAAGATGAGGCGTATGTGGAGCATGCATAAACTGACTAATCACACTAAAAGCGCAGGTAATATCCAGGTGAGTGAGAGATAAGTAAATCAGTCTCTCATCCCATCGCTGAAATCTTCCCATATCATCTAATGGGTCACCATCCAAATCATTAAGCCTAAGGTTATGCTCAATGGGAATATCAATAGGTCTAGCTCAAGCGTACCGGTTTAAGCCAACAAATCTAACACATACTTCCGTTGAGAAATAAACACCCCTTTCTTGGATCTCCACACCTCGATGCCAAGAAAGTATCTCAATGATCCGAGGTTTTAAACCTCGAACTCTATCCCCGAGAATGATTTCATTCAATGAATCTCTTTTGGATCATTTCCAGTCATAACAATATCATCAACATATACAATAAGGGTAGTGGTGTGGTCCTGGTGCTTCTTGATGAAGAGAGTATGATATGCCTCACTCTGTGTGTACCCTACTCTCTTCACAACAGTGTTGAACCTCTCAAACCAAAAGTGCGGTGACTACTTTAAGTCATACAAGGCTTTATTCAGCTTGCACACTAAATTCTGACCATTGGCAAGCTTATACCCTGGTGGCATAGTCATATACACCTCTTCCTCCAAGTCAACATGAAGGAAAACATTCTTTACATCCAGCTGATGATAAGGCCAAGACAAATTAGCTGCCAAAGAAAGAAGGACACGTATAGAGTTCATCTTGGCAACTGGAGCGAATGTTTCCTGATAAATCTGCAACTAACCGGGCTTTATATCTCTTAATTGTTCCGTCTACATGATACTTTATTGTGTAGACCCATTTGCAACCTACTGGTTTCTTACCCCTAGGCAATGAAACAATATCCCAAGTACCATTCTTCTCAAGAACCTTCATTTCCTCAAGCATGGATTCCTTCCATGGAGTTTGACTGAGAGCATCTGAAACACTAGAAGGAACAGAAACAGACGAGATAGGAGAAGTGAAAGCATGATATGTTGGAGATAAGGCATCATAGGATACAAACTGAGATATGGGATGTTTTTTATAACTCAGAACACCTTTACGATAGGCAATAGGGATATCAAATCAACAGGAAAAGAATCAGGAGTATCAATGTCACATGTGGGATTACTTGGATCGAAGGAGACTTCTTGGTCATGGGGCGAGTCATTTAGCTTACACGCAAATTCACCGTTCAAGTTAATTGTCATGCAAGTCAGTTTTAATAAACATCCTTTTGAATAATCCTAAACCAAAATCAAAATCTAGTACGATGAAGATCTCACAAAACAAATGCCAAATAAAATGTACATAGTTCTTATATTAGTCCCACATAGAAAACATTTTCTTAGGTTCCCTTAATCCCTAGCAAGAGATGTAATGGAAATTATAAAGAATGTGAAGGCGAAAAGTGTGGTTGCAAATGCAAGCATCTTCAAGCACCCATTGGTTGCTTCAACCACAGCTACACGTGCTCCAAACCCTGCCCTCAATTCCTTAATTTCTTTCACTAGTTTATCATTTTTATTCCTTCTTGCTTCATTCTCGTCTAATGTTTGGTTAACTAATTGAGTTAGAGTGGATGTTGAAGTTGCCAACTGGTTAGATTGCTCTGGATTACACCATACCCATATCTCACATCTTCGAGTTGAACATATTAGTATATTTTCCTATATTATTTTGGGTATCTGAGTGTGTCACCCTAAACAAAAAAGTACCTATCTCCGTATCTCCTGTTGCTGCTCTCTATATTAGATAAATCCATTATTCACCCAAACCATAATTTACAGTAGAACCCATTTAACACTCGAACAAAAATGGAATACAAAATGAACCATATATTTGTGTATGTGTATAAATATTGTGGGAAAATACGATTCTTTCCTTGTATAAGGAAATCGTGTACAGGCTGTTAATAGCTAGGGATTTATTAGTTGTGTACAGGCTGTTAATAGCTAGAGATTTACAGGCTGCTGTCAATAGCTAGAGATTTACAGGCTGCTGTTTTTATTAGCTTCCTAGAATAGCATTATTCTGATGTACATATAAGAATGTATTCCCAATTCTTTAATCAATTGATTCGATTACCAATTTCAGTAATTTTTTTTATGGTATCAGAGCTCTAGGCTCGTTTTCTGGGTAATCGTATTCTTTTGGCCTTCTTTACTAGTCCTTTTCTTCGTGTTCTTGTTCTCTGTGAAAATCCAGTGTTATCAAATCTGTGGATTTCACCTCTCTCTAAACCATGTCAGCATCCACCGAAACCAACGACACTTCAGAGATCCCTGTAACTGGAAGCAACGGCTCTGTCCCAACAGGAGAATTGCAAAATATCCAGGCGGCGTATAGGTTGAACGGGAAAAATTATCTGAAGCGGTCTCAAATGGTCCGCACATTCTTGAAAGGAAGAGGGTAACTGAGCCACTTGCTTGGTAATGGTCCAAAGAAGGAGGATCCTATGTTTGATGCTTGGGATGAATAAGACTCTATGGTTATGTCCTGGTTATGGAACTCTATGTTACCAGAAATCAGCGACACTTGTATGTTTTTGAGCACGGCCAAGGAGATATGGGAAGCAGTCAAGCAGACCTATTCCAAAGTACGTGATGCTACACAGATCTATGAGATCAAGACCAAAATCTCCGCTACCAAACAAGGTAATCGGTCAGTCACCGAATATTCCAACCTCTTGAAGGGTCTATTGCAGGAGATGGATCATTATCAGTGCATTCAGATGAAGTGCAGTGAAGATGCAGCTATCCTTAAGAGGTTTGTTGAAAAGGACAGAATTTATGATTTTCTTGCAAGTTTAAACATCGAATTTGATGTTATAAGAGTGCAAATACTTGGAAAAGAAGATCTGCCAACCTTAAATGAGGCAATTGCAATTGTTCTTGCTGAGGAAGGAAGAAGGGGTGTTATGATTGAAACTCACACAGTAGAGAGTTCGGCCTTAGTGTCAAAAAACACGGCTATGAAGAATTATGGCTCCGAACAGCGTTTTGGAGAAGGCAATGGGCAAACTGATATGTCAAGACCATTCAACAAGGATTCTCTGTGGTGTACATACTGCAAAAAATCCCGCCATACTAAGGAGAAGTGCTGGAAGCTCCATGGCAAGCCTCAAATTGTGAACAAAGCTTGGTCAGAAAAGAGTGGACAGCCAAGAGGACAGGGACAGGCACAAGTGGCAACCACACAATCAAACAGTGAAGACAATCTTTCAATCCCATCTGCTGAATTCAACAAAGAAGAGATAGAGAAATTAAAGAGCTATTGGGAACGTTGGAGAAACCGTCTACAGCAAGTAATTGTTCTTTGGTGTTCTCAGGTATTTCCTCTCCTTCCCCCTCTTCTCATGTTTTTAGTGCTTCAGATATAGTCCCCTCAAGCTCCTGGGTAATTAACTCAAGAGCTACAGATCACATGACCCATTCCTCAAAAAAATTTATTTCATATACCCCTTGTCCTAGCAATAGGAAAACAATAACAGCTGATGGTTCAGTGATAACCGTGGCTGGTCAAGGAGATGTTTTTTTAAATGACCACCTTACACTTAAGAATGTCCTCCATGTCCCAAAACTATGCACCAATCTTGTGTCAATCCAGAAACTCACTACAGATTCTAATTGCAGTGTGACGTTTTACCCTCTCCGTTGTATATTTGAGGAACAGGGCACGAAGAGGATGATTGGACATGCTAGGGA